GGTTTTGCCTCCTTCAGGATCTGCTTCTCAGGGCTCACCTAGAGGTCCCTCTTCCCTTAGTGTTTGGCACACAGTCAGTGTTAAAGTTGGCCAAATTTGATTGCCAAGATAGAATTGTGCTAGAAGCAAAGTCAGTGATGGGAGTTTCAACTGCATGTCTGTTGCTAACTTGATGGGTGGCCATTCCTCTCTCCAAACCTCCATTTCTCCGTGTGTAAAATGTCGGGTTGAATCTATTACATCTAGCACATAAATTGATGGTTAGGTTGAGTTAGGTAAGTTAGACTGAGTCTTCTGGGTCTTCCTGGTTTCTTGGGGACATGCTCCTCAGAGGAATAGACCATGCCTGCTATGCATCCTGTGCATGAATGACAAAAGCTTCAGATCCTTCAGGGAAAGTGTGTGGCCTGACACTACCCCTCCTTCATCCTGGTTCATACTCTCCATGGCAGACATCACCAGTCCACCCCAGGGTTCTTTCTTACAGAGCATGGATGTGGCCCCAGAATTCTCCTCCACATTGTTCTTCAAGTAGTCCCTACTATTAGCCAATGAAATGAGACCCTTCTGTCTGAATTATATTGTTGAATTATATAAACAATCTTTGAGCTCAGAAATTCTAAGAATCTCACAGAATACTCGGTAGGGTTGAAGTTGATGAGCCAGTGCCTACTGGTGACAGAGAGACCAGAAACCTTCAACTGAACCAGGAAGGAGAGATTGGGCAGTGGCCCCAGGGCAACTCCCCAGTTAATCATTTAGCTACGGAAGTCAGGTGCCCTGATGCACACTAAGGATAGAGTCATAATGGCCCATTAAAAACCAATTATGCTGAATCCAGAGTCTGGACTCAGTAGAGCCTCCTGGGATCTGCCCCACTGGGTGCCATCCCCAGGCTGGAACAGAGATCTAGGGAAAGAGCATTATCCGCTCTTTGGTGTCACCCAAAGTAGGAGGGAGAACAGCTGGAATGAGCTAGGACTGGGGGTGGGAAGGCAGCAAAGAGTTGGGTGAGTGGGAAGCTAATCTTCAGTCCAGAGGCCCTTCCCTCCAAGTAGAACTCTCTTCCGCTGGCCCCTGGGGTCAGCAGTTAGAGAGAAGATGAGGCTGCTGGGAGAGGATGGTAGGCAGGGGGAGATTGTGTGGGGCCTTGAATGCCAGGGTAATGGCTGTGGATTTGGTAGATCTTGAACGGGACAAATAGGAAGGGCCCCTTCCCCTTGCTGAACCTGTTTCTCCATAGTAATAGGACAGATGGAACAAAATAAACTGGATGGAGTAAAAAGAAAAACAATTGTGTAAGGCTTGGGATGGGAGAACTGAAAAAGTGGTGGAGGTAGATTTGGGGAGAAAATCTACCTTTTGGGGAGGTAGATTTGGGGAGGTTAATGATATAAAACTCCCAATTTACTAAACTCATAACTGGATCCTGCACCTGGCAAGTGCCTTGTAAGTAGGGAGACCACTCACCCTGGTTGAAACTTGTCCTGGAGTTTATTAATGGTTTATTGATGGTTTCTTTTACTTTCAGAATTTTCAGATTCAGGTGATACATTTAGTTAAACCTTATTTAGACCATTACCTCATCCTCCCCAAAACTCTATGAGGAAGTTATTAATAATAATCATAATAATATTGCCACTTTTCTAAGTAAATCTGAACTCGAAGAGGTCCATTAACTTAATTTGAACCACACAACCAATAAACAGGAGATTCAGGATAATATTAATTGGCAAAATACTGGATGGCAGCCAATTCTTATGCAAATACTGACGACAGTAAAATGACTAACATACAAATTTACGGAGCATCTAATATGTGCCAGTACTACTCAAAGGCATCTATGTGAGTTGTTTCATTTAATCCTCAAAACTTGTGGAGACAGCTACAATCATCACCTGCATTTTCACCAGGACACTAAGGTTCAAAGGATTTCAGACATTTGTCTAAAGTTACACAGCAAACAAGGGGTAAGGCCTGTCTTTGAACTCAAGTGTTGGCCTCTGAAACCATTTTCCTTATTGCTGGGCAGGGTGGAAGAAGACCAAGAGAGGAAGGTGGGAGGGAGAAGGGAGAGAAGGCAGCAAAGCTGGAGGGGCCATGAGATTTTGGGGTGAATTCCCTTGCTGCATTCTTCTTTCCCTGTCACCCAGGAGCCTTGAGCTCAGGGTAGGGAGCCACCTACGGGCAGGGGCCAGGGCTAATAACAAGCACCCACTCTGACAGGTGTGCTGTCAACGAGAGGGGTCCCAGATGGGACAGTGCCTCTCCCATTCCTTCCCTGGTGCCCAACAAGGAGCTGTGTGACAACCCTTCAACAGCACACTCTTGTGGGGCTGAAGGCTGTGGGGAGATTTGGGGGCCTCAGAGGCATTTGATTCAGCAAGTCACAGACTAGCCAAATCCTAAGAGTTCTTCTGAGTCATTTCACAGATGAGAAACTGGGACCCAGAGTAAGGAAGCACCTTAGCCGGGGACCCATGGGGAGCCAGTGGCTTGTCTACCTGAATCGGAGGCCACACACTCTGCCAGCCTCCCAGGCCCGTGACTTCAGAGGGAAGGAAGTGAGGAAGGAAGGGCAGGTCTTGAAATGTGACAGTTTGAGAGAAAGGGATTATGGCCGGGTGGGGAGGCTGGGGCGTGGGCAGCTGACAGAGTGTGGGTGCGCCGGGAAGCTGGTGAGCATTAGCGACCCTATTCACACCCTCACCCAACCAAGGGACAGGGAGGGACATTCATTCATTCAACCAACCCACAGGTGCTGAGCATCTCCTATGCCCTGTTAGAGCCCTGTGCTGGGCTCTAACAGCCCAGAGAGAATAAGACCCAGGCCTCTCCCCCACAGAGCTCATGGCCCAGTGGACAGGAGAGGCCTGTACACAAACAACCATATTCCTGATGGCCAATTAGTGTCAGAAGACTTAGATGACAGGATTTAAGCTGAGCACACGGAGGAGGTGATAATGACTTTACTTTGATAGTGGGTCTGGGTACCATCCCACATGCACATCTATCTGCTAGCCCAGTTCCCAGGAGGGCTGGGGGGACAGCATTTAGGACAGAATTGGGCTGTAACTGGCAGAGGAGCTGCTGTCCCCTGCAGGATCCGCCGGCCCTGACTTTCCTCCCACAACCCCATGCCCTGGGAGTGTGATGCTGATGAGTACAGATGACTTAGATCGCAGAGGGAGCAGCTCTGAGAACAGATTACATGGGGACTTGACCAAGGAGCAGGTGTGTTCTTGGTGGAACGTGGAGGCAGAGTACAGAACAATTGGAAGAAGTTCTAAGAAAAGAAGATCTTGATTCAGCAATAGGAAGGGCATGTTAACTTTTGGGTGGTGGATGAGCTGCCTCTCTGAGGCATCCAAGCTGAAGGGAGCCAGGATCAAGTATCTATCAAGATACCTGCAGACATGGAGCTCTGAGAGAGATGTCTCCAGTTTTGGGGATAATGATGATAATGGCAGCTCTGACTCACGCCATCTCCTGCCCCCTGTAATGAGGTTTCAGATGCCCAGAGGGTGGAGGGAGCTGGTTTGGGCTATAGCTGGAGATGGGAAGGCCAAGGCAGAATCCTTAGGGCTGGAACCCATTACCCTGGGTCCAGGAACCCTCATTATATCTTAAATCCCCCTTAGAAGCAGCCCTGGGGCATGCATGGCTAAGATAATTACCGCACAATAACCTCAGCCCCTGCTTCTGACTCATCCCCTTAAAAATAAAAGCAGTTGTATCCTGTTCTGGCCTCTCCCCATATACGTTGTGGCTTGACCTCATGGGTTACAGATCCAATGTGCCCTCAGGCAAGAAATCCCTTTTCTCCCATCTCTGGATCTCAGTTACTGTGAGTAAAAGGGAGAACCAGGCTTTTAAAGGCTCCACCAGCAACGCTGCTCATAGATTGGACAGTCCTATGCATAAGGTAGGAGATGTTTCTGCCTGTGTTTTCAGACTAAACAGAGGCTGCCTCAGATCAAAGATCTGGCACTGGAGAGTTCTCTTCCTGTCCAAGAACTGAAGCTAATTTAGTTCTTTCAAATGTGGGAATTGGACAGCTGGTGCACAGGCCCTGGTGCTGTTGTTCCAGCTCCTACCACTCAGGGTCACTGTTGAACACAGACCCTGCACCATCCCTGCTAGCCCACTACAGCAGTTGCTTTGGGAGCTCCCAAGCTCAGGACACATGTGCCAGCTGTGTAAGCTCCTACTCACCTGCTCAGTCATTGTCTCTAAATCATGATGCCAGACTAGCTTGCCAGCCCAGACTGGGCTAGAATTAGCCTTTGTGTGTCCTCAGCTCTGGGAATTGAGACTGTGGCACCAACATAGATCCGCGACAGTGGAGGCTGGTTAGAGGGCTGACTCTCTGTAGCCAAGAGAGGTGTCGGTAGCTTGGCCTGGGTCATGATAAGATGGAGAAATGGCAGATTTGGGGCAGGTTTTGCAGGTGGTGCCATTTGGACCTGATGATCGATTGGATAAGAAACATGAATGCAAAGGTGCTTTTCACACTTCATCTTATTCAATCTCACTACTAAAGCCAAAATCACCAGTGTTTTATTGATGAGAGCAGCTAAGACATGCTGGACCTACAGTAAGGAAGTGGCATAACTAGGACCCTGACCCAAGCGTAACTCCAAGATTTGCTACTATAGGATCTGGGGACAGGAAAATGAAGGGAAGTGGGTGAATGTAAGAGATTGGAAAGTGAGGCAAGCTGCCCAGTGGAAGTCTCTAGAACCAGGCCAAGGAGTTGAAACTTTTCCTTGAGAGAAGAGAAGCCCCCTAGGGAGTCATGGAAGCCAACCCTAGAGGGATAGAGTAGCTATATCTCCACTGACGAGAACTGACTGTGGCTGATCCACACAGCTTGATGCTGGTGAAGAATAATCCCAGGTTCAGCCCATTCCAGGATGGTGGAAGGATGGGAAGAATTAGTTACAGGGCCGCCCTCAGGGTTCTCAGGCTGCACAGAGGACTCAGACTTGGCTTTGATCATGGGGGGTGGAAGCGGTAAGCGGGAAAAGACACTGAAGCGTATGGTGTTGTATATATGAACTAGATATATGATTATTGTTTTCTTAAGTTACTAATCTCAGCTGGTTCATTTACCAGCAATGGATGCCTGAAACATCAATTCCTTTGTCCCTAGTATCCTCTCTATAGAACAAATATTTTATAATGTATCTTCACTATCCTAAAATTAAATTGATGCATATTACCTACTTTCATACACCACTTAAAAAAATATATATATACACATACACACGCACACACACACACACACACACACATATATATATATATATGTATTTACTATAATCAAAAAGAAATCAACTTTAAGTAAAATATATAGATGTTTCTCAGGACCAGCTCTCCATTTGCAAGTTCTTTCAGCTCTGTATACTTTTCTTTCACAGCATGTATCAAAGTCATAAATAGTTACCTGTGGGCTCACCTATTTAGGTGTCACCCTTGTTCGTCTGGAATATAATAACTATATTTATTGGGCTCTCATGTTCTAAGGGCTCTAAATGACAGGAGTTATCTCACAATCAATCCACAAGGTGGTATTATTATTATTATTATTATTACTATTACTCCCAGTCTACAGAAGTAGACTGAGATATAACAAAGTTAAGTAGAAGGTAGTTTAACCAGTAAATGACCAAGTCAGGATTGGAATCCACGTCAGATGGCCTCAGAGGCTGTGCTCATAACCATCGGGCCACATGGCCTCACCATGTATCTCCAAGTTAAACCCATATCTTGCTCACCAATATATCCCACACCAGACACCAGCCTGGGCATACATGGTCGATCCTCAATATTCACAGATTCCATAAACACAAATTGACCTACTTGCTAATAATGATTTTCTATTGCAAATCAACACTCTTAGCACTTTTATGGTCATTCGCAGTCACCTGCCAGGTGTGAAAATCTATCACCCAACATGCATGGTCCCCGCTGATGCCCTCCAGTGTTGGTCTTGAGTTCAATGTGAAAGACTCAGCAGTGGATTAAATAAGGTGTCTTAAAAAAAAAAAACACACACACCTAAAGAAAGGCTTTGCATTGACCATTGATGAGAAAGTTGCGACCAGAGGCTCAAGGAACCTAGTGCTATTTCCCCCAGGAGCAGGTGATTCTGTTCGCTAGTTCAGCATCCATGGAGACTTTACAGAGAAACACTAGCACCGGTAGCTGAAGAATGACAAATCACGACTGGACGAACAGATGACTGGCTGGCAGAAGTAGATGGCGAGCAAGCCAGGTGTGGACACACCACATACTAAGGGCCATCCTCACCTCCCTGTCCTCTCCAGGGATCAGAGTCACTGAGGTGGACTGGCAGCGGCCAAGGAATGGTGCTGCCCACCACACCCAGGAGTACCCTGGCTCTGAGCTGGTGGTCCGCAGGAACCAGATGTTCACCTTAACACTGGAGCTGAGCCGAGCCTTGTCGACTGAGGAGGCCGTCATCTTCACGGTGGAGACAGGTAATAGGCTCAGCAGTGCCCTCCACTCTGCAGCCAAAAAGGCTTGTCTTGTGACAAGCGACTTGAGACCCTGTGGTCACCAGCCGGGAAGGGGGAAGCAAGTCCTGTCCCGATCCCCAGAGGCTCGTGATGATGGCTCTCCAGGATGGCTGGAAGGTGCTCCCCAGGCAGTGGGAGACGGAGACAACTCAGAGTCGCAGCAGACCAAGGATCAGGGTGCTGGAAGGGTCTGGTCATCAGACACTGTGGGGCCCCGGCTTTTCTCTCTTGGTCAGATAGAAGGCCAACTTTGGCTTCAAAGGGGTCCTGTCACTTTCTCCTTTCTCAGGAAAGTGGAACAGCTGAAGTGGACCCCACTCTGCCACTGGCCCTCCTGTGTCTCGGTCACGTCCTTCCCAACAACAGTGTCCCAGCAGTCCAGGGGTCAAAGGGTGGACTTCCAGGCCTTCAGCTTTTGCTTCTCTAGAGCTAGGTTTTCTAAAGGCATCTGGGTCTCCTGTTTTCCTCTCCTCTCTGCCAGGACCCCAGGCTTCCGAGGCCCTCCGCACCAAAACTGTGTTCCAGACCGCAGAGCTGGAGGTGGGCGACACCTGGACGGCAGTGAAGGAGGCTCAGACAGAGAACACCGTGACAGTCTGTCTTGCCAGCCCTCCTGATGCTGTCATCGGCCGCTACCAGCTGAGCGCCAGGGTTTCCTCCCGCCGCAAACACAGCGACCGGAAGCTGGGCGAGTTTGTTCTCCTTTTCAATCCCTGGTGCCCAGGTAGGAGCTGGGGAGTCTGAGGCTGAGGTTTTCCTGGAAATTGCCCTGCAGGCGGGCCTGCCTTAGAGGGGCGTGGGAGGCAGGTGAAGGGACGGGGCTGGGCAAGAGCTGGGCACAGACAGAGATGGAGAGAAATGTAGTAGTGGATGCGATAAAAGAGCCTGTGATGAAGGGAAAGAACCAGTGTTCTGGTTCTTCTGGTGTGCAGCGGCCAGAGGGACGGGACCTGACGGGAGCAGTGGGTAAGAACCAGGCTTTAGCTATCATACAGCCTTGGTTTAGTCCCAGCTCTGCTAAGCTGCTTCCCTCTGTGAACTTCAATATTCTCATCTGTAGTATGGGAATAACAATAGTGCCTGCCTCTCAGGGTAGGGTGAGAACTCACAGAGCTAAAGTTCGTAAAGAACAAGGTGCATGGGGCCTCCCTGGTGGCGCAGCTGTTGAGCGCTGGGCTGTGAAGCTGCGCGCAGCCTCTGCAGCACCGGTTTGATCCCCGGCCGCCGGGCGAGGGTCCCACATGGCACAGCAGACCTCTCCTGCCGCCCGCTGCTCCCCTCAGCAGTGTACCTCGGTCCTTCTGCCTGCTCTGCTCCCCACTCTGGCTCTGGTGAATTCTCTCACCCTCCCGCGATTCTGACTGTACCCAGTGCTTGTATAAATAAATAAATAAATAAATAAATAGATCTTTAAAAAAAAAAAAGAACAAGGTGCATGGTAAGGGGTCCTGGGGTCGGAGTTCATATTAAATTTAAGAAATATATAGGGGGCCTCCCCGGTGGCGCAGCGGTTGAGCGCTGGGTTGCAAAGCTGCCCACGGCCTCTGCGGCGCCAGTTCGATCCCCAGCTGCTCCCCGGCCACCAGAGGAGGGTCCCACATGGCGCACAGACCTCTCCTGCCGCCCGCTGCTCCCCTCAGCAGTGTACTTCGGTCCTTCTGCCTGTTCTGCTCCCCGCTCTGGCTCTGGTGAATTCTTTCACCCTCCCGCACTTCTGACTGTACCCAGTGCATGTATAAACAAACAAGCAAAACAAACAAATAAATAAATAAATAAAAACATGCCTCTATTAAAAAAAAATCTTAAAAAAAAAATATATATATATATATAGGGCTGCTGTTGGCATCAAGTAGATTCACCAAAAGATGCCAGGACTCCTAATCCCTCAGACTTGGGACGGGCTGGGGTTGACCCCTGCCAGTGGAAAGATCGGCCATGTGGAAAGGGGCTCTGCCGGGAGGCAGCCTGGGAGCTCTGTGAGCCCCTCTTGCCCTCTCCTGCCCTGTCAGCCTCCAGGCTCATGCCCCTGCTGATCCCTGATATAACCCCCTTCCCCCGATGTAGCCCCTTCCCCAGGCCGGCAAGGCCAGAGCCCCAGCCCACGCCGGGCCTGATGACTGCTTTTCAGAGGATGACGTGTTTCTGGCCTCCGAGGAGGAGAGACAGGAGTACGTGCTCAATGACAGCGGAATCATCTTCCGAGGCGTGGAGAAGCACATCCGAGCCCAGGGCTGGAACTTCGGGCAGGTCTCCAGGGGCACAGGCCAAGCAGGGGGGCAGGCGGGGGGTCGGGGGTGCAGCATCAGCCCAGGGGCTCTCTGTGTGCTCACTTCTTCCCAGGAGGGACATGCTGGGCTCTTCAAGCAAACCCATTCCTTTATTCCTCTATGACTAGTTGTGCTGGGGCTTTGGGGAAAGGAGGTGCTTGTGAATATACTTGGGAAACAGAACAGGTCGGTTCTGTTGTGGACAGAAAAGTAGGTTCTCAAGCTTGAGTGTGCACCAGGATCACATAGAGAGCTCGTAAAACACGCAGATGGCTGCGCCTCCCTCACAGCTGCTGATTCAGTGGGCCTTGGGTGGGGTCTGAGGATTTCCATTTCTAACAAGGTTCTGGATGGTGCTGACATGGCTGGCCTGGGACCAGACTTTTAGAATCAGTGGCTTAGTTTCTATATAAGGTGCGATGTGGGAAGGAAGTCAAAGTGGTAGACATGGAAGCAGAGGGAATTCAGAAAAATGTAAAAGAAAACCCCCTGAGGGACTGCAGGAGGCTTCGCCACAGGGTCACCATGTCAGGGCTGTATGTCCGCAGTTGGGCAGGATCTGGACAGATGGAGGGAAGAGTAGATAGAACAGCATGGTGGGGAGGTCCTGCTGTTGTCTGCTGGGCCCGTGAGATGAAGTGGGAAGAAGGATACAGGAAGAAGGTGGTAAGGAAGGCTGAGGATCCAAACTGTCAGGCTGGGGAGCAGGGGGTTGAAAGCATTTGGGGCCCAGAGACTGGGCAGGGATGATACAGTAGAGAGTTTAGGGTCTGCCTGAGAGGTAACCTCTTCTCAACACCTGATTTTGCTTGGCATGTAAGAAAGTCAGCCCAAGGATTCCAGACTTTCCAAATATTCAGGACCAGAAATCTTAATTTGTATAAAACTCCCCCAGTTTTCAATGCTCTTGATTACTTCAAATGTATTTGAAAAAAAGCATGTAACCCCAGCAAACTTGCCAGTGGGACAGAGATGGTGTCTCAGTTACCCATTCTATATGCTTTGCTGTGAGTGGCAGGGAGGCACGGGGGACTGTGGAGTGGGATGGGCTGTGAGGAAGGTTGATCTCCAGGTTCTCAGCAACTCCATGAGGAAGTGTCTCTGAGACTTGGGGATGCTCTGTGGGAGGGAAGGCCAGGGGTTATGAAATCTCCTGCAGGACACAAGTGACCAACAGCATGGGGTGGTGGGGGGGGTGGGATCTGGAATGTGAAGGAAGCCAGGCCTCTAATGCAGTGTCTCCGGGCACAGTTTGAGGAGGACATCCTGAGCATCTGCCTCTCCCTCCTGGACCGAAGTCCCAGTCACCAAGACGACCCAGCTGCTGACGTGTCCCGCCGTCACGACCCCATCTACATCACCAGAGTCATCAGCGCCATGGTGAGCACTCCACTGTCCCTCAGGCACACTCACTCATGGTTCCCCAGGCCAGCCCCAGGGCCTATAATTTTTCCAAATCATCTCTTATTTTAATTCTCTATTATTGCCACAACAAACCACCCAAAACTCAGTGGCATAAGACGATCATTTGTCATGGTTATAATTTTGCAGATCAGGGAGTTGGACAGGGCACCATGGGGATGGCTTGTCTCTGCTCCAAGGTGCTCCAGCTTGGGGTGTCCAGATGGCTACAGGGGTCTGGGATGGTTTGATGGAGCTGTATATCTGGGACCTTGGTTCTGACCATCATATAGTCCTGGGTTCTCTTCCTGAATTTGTCTGCTTGAGCTGGAATGTCAAGATGGCTTCTTCACTTTCACACCTGGCCCTGGATGGGAGGGTTGGAACAGCAGGGATTGACCAGCCATCACTGTCTCTCCATGCAGCCTTTCCATGTGGCTAACTGGGGTCTATTCATAGCATGGCAGTCTCAGGGTAACTGAACACAGCAGCTGGCTTCACTCTAAGCCATAATTCCAGAAAGGAAATAGGGGCTGCCAGTCTTATAACACCTGGGTCTAGAAATGGATACAGCAGTGCTTCTACCACAGTCATTTTCAAAGTTGCCCTGGCCCAGTCCAGATTAGGGAGCGGGCACACAGACCCACCTCTTGCGGGAGGGTTACATCTTTAATCTACCATATGCAACAGTGCTTCCCCTCAAAAGGTGCTTCCCCTTCAGAAGGCCTTCTAGCACTCTCTATAACAAGCAGGTGTTAAGATCAGTAGGTTGGTATCTGTGATTCCAAAAACTGACAATGCAATTTTTCTCGTATTTGATGCTCTCAATTCCTTAAGGCCTCAGAGAGAAGTGTTAGCACAGAAAATCCAACCCTGTGACCCATTTCAAACAGCACAGTGTCACACCCAGGGGACAGCAACATAGGCTCCTGAGTCACAGTGCTAAACTGAGGGTCACCCCTTTTACTAATTTGTTTTGTGATTTGGCAAGTCCTTCAGCCCCTCTGAATCTGGTGTTCTCATGAGAAAATAAAAAAGGAGAATAATAGAACATGCATCATTGACATAGACAAAGCCCTTAGAACAGCGCCCAGCACACAGCAAGCAGTTAATGAAAATTAGCTGTCTCTGGGATTATGCCAATAACAGTCTCCCCAAAGTAAACCGTTCAAGACAGAAAATGCTTTAAAACCAGAGATGATCTCCAACCATAGAGTATCCCAATGGAAGGAAACGAAAACTCATAAATGGTGGCCAACGTGTATAAATGAAGACAAAAGATGCTCCCAGTTTTCAGACAGTTTAAAAGCAAGGGGTGACTCCGCACCCCTGGGCGCTCCACAGTTCGAGGGCCCCGAAGAGGGAACCCTGGCCTAGTGGTCGACCCGTGCCCTCGCCTGCCCAGGTGAACAGCAACAACGACCGCGGTGTGGTGCAAGGCCAGTGGCAGGGCAAGTATGGCGGCGGCACCAGCCCTCTGCACTGGCGCGGCAGCGTGGACATTCTCCGCAAGTGGTTCAAGGGCAGGTTCAAGCCAGTCAAGTACGGCCAGTGCTGGGTCTTCGCCGGAGTCATGTGCACAGGTACCCTGGGACAGAAGGTCCTCATCTCCCAACCTGCTCCAGGGTCCTTAGTTGGCGTTCATTTTGCATGTATTTACATAACCCTGCCCCCAGTCTTTATTGAGATGAGGAACAGATGTGGTTAAAGAAGAAAGCAAGCAGATAATTCATTTATGTGCCTTTTGATCTTTAATTTGCAGAAGGACTCCCCCCTCCCTCTGCCTCCAGCACAGTGAGTGCCCTTGGGGGAGTCCTGTGGTCCCCCAGGTCTCAGGATACCTCAGGAAAATAAATATTATATGGCCTCCAAGCTCCCTCCATCTCAGAGGCCATCCCCTGAGAAAATGGTGGTGTTTCTCAGAGTGGAGCAGAAGCCTCAACCCTGGCAAAATATACAGAAAGGGCAGGGAGACCAGAAATGAGGCTGAGCACCTGCTGGGGAGACCTGATCCCTCTCCCTAAGTCCTAGCCTGTTTCTGGAGCCTCTCGAGCCTCCTGCTCTTCAGTCCTTAGGTGCTTGGGGATTGCAACGCGTGTTGTATCCAACTTTAACTCAGCCCACGACACGGACAGGAACCTGAGCGTGGACAAATACGTGGACTCCTTCGGGCGGACCCTGGAAGACCTGACAGAAGACAGCATGTGGTGGGTTCAAGGCCCGCAGGGCCCCAGGGCAGCCCCGCCCAGCCCCAGGGGCTCCCGAGACAGACCTGGATCTGGAGCTCAGCTTTCCTGAGTCTGACCAGTTCTGGAAGGAGTGAGAGACACCCAGCAGAGGGGGAGTCCTTCTGAGATCTGGGGGGCCTTAGACAAGTGACTAAGAGGTCAAGAGGAGCGCTCAAGAATTGACTGCCTGCAGTCAATGTGAACCCCCATTCACCCTTCTTTGGGAATGTGAGCCCTTCCCACAATTCCCATGACTTGAAGGGAGGCGAGAGTCCCTCTGCGTAGTTCCCTGTCTGTATCGTGCTCCTGCTTCCCATCAGCTGCCTGTGCCCCTCACTCTGTGTCTCAGGTGGGAAACAACTCTTTCCACAAACTTAAAAAAATTAAATTTCAATTTAATTTTTGAAATAGAAAATACACTCATGTGCTTTAACATTCGAAAGGTACAAAATGGATTACAGTGAAGTCTCCACCCACCCGAATCCTGCCCCCCATCCTCTTCCTGATAGGACTAGTTTACTCCATCTCCTTTCAAAGAAAGGCCCAGCAGGACGTACATCTACACAGATCCCTGCATCCTGCTTTCTGCCCCCTTAATAATGGCCTCATAGTGTATACTGTTCTTGCTCATACATTTAATGATTCCATGTGAATACACACAGGTTCTCCTTATTGTTTCTTTGCAATGTTTAAAGTATTACAAATAATACCACACCCCCTGAGCACCTAGTCGATGCCAGCCCCAGTTCTAAGTGGTATTCATTAACTCGTGGTATATATAACTCATGCATTCCTCCAAACAACCTTGTGAGCAAGTCAGTATTATTGTCTCTGTTTTGAAAATGAATAAACTGAGAAGCACAGAGAGATTAAGTAACTTGTCTAAGGATACACAGCTAGTGAGCGGAAGAGCAGCAGTATGAACCTGGGCTGTCCTTCAATTGGATGGAGAAACCATTGTTTTTCTAACCACCTCACAGGGATGGACCAAATGTTTTCTTCACAAACAAAGCTTCAGTCAATAACCTTGTCCAAAAGTCAGGTCACTCGTGTACCTTTTGTCTAAAGAGTAGGGGAAACGGTGAAGTGTGTACAGTACAGAAACGCAGGCGGCCTCAGCCTCCCTGTTCTTAGCCTGTCCTCCAGTCACCCGCAGGGGATTCTCCAGCCTCAATCCTGCTCTGCTCCTCTCTCCTCTCCAGCCCTTTTTTTTTTGGTTCTCTTTACTCGCTCTCCCAGTAGGAATACCAAAAAACTACATTCCTCAAGCAGAATGGACAGACACTTCTCTTCTATGTTGGGGCCTCTGTCACCATGCAGGCCATCAGAGTCCTGGCTTTCACGCCCAAATGCTTATCATTTTCCCAAAAACCATCACCTCCCTGACAAGGATTCTGAGGCCAGCTGTAAAGATGCCAAGTCCAGCAAAGCAGGGTTTCTATCTGTTGCTTCCTTACTGTGTGACCCTGTACATATGATATCTCTTTTCCTAGTCTCATACTATCATCTCTAACACAGGAAACTTAAAATAAGGCCGGAATTCCTTTCCTGGGTCTACAGAACTCTGTATAATCTGAACCCTACTGTCCACCATGCTTGCCACAGTCCAGAGATATTTACATACTTTCTGTTCCTTGAACACACCAAGCTTTCTCTTGTCTCAGGGCCTTTGCACATTCTGTTCCTCCGGCCTTAGACACTATTCCCTTCACTCTCTCTGTGACTAATTCTGATTTAAGTCTCATTTTAGATGTCATTTACCTGGAGAAGTTTTTCAACAATCTCTATCTTGCATTTGTTTTATTTATCTACTTTAGCTACTTATTTAACTTTGCCTGCCTCCCTGTCAGTCTTTCTTAGAATATAATCTGCATGAGGGCAAGAATCTTCTGTCTTATTTATAGCTGTTATTTCTGGTACCTGATCAACACCTTCTTGAAAAACACACGAATGGCATCTGCTCACCCATACTGTGGAGTGAATGGCTCTCATATCCTAGCACAGTGCTCAAACAGACTGAGGACCCCAGTCCAGGCTCTAAGCAGGATCTTCCCCTCCTGCGGGCCTCTGTGCTCACTGTAGGCCACCCTGCCCCATCCTCTCTCTGTGGCAGGAATTTCCATGTCTGGAATGAGAGCTGGTTTGCCCGGCAGGACCTGGGCCCCTCTTACAATGGCTGGCAGGTTCTGGATGCCACCCCCCAGGAGGAGAGTGAAGGTACGGGCTCAGCCGGGTGGGTCTCAGACCCTGAGCCTCCTCGCCCAGGCCGCTCACGCCCACCCCTCCTGCCCAGGAGTGTTCCGATGCGGCCCGGCCTCCGTCACCGCCATCCGTGAGGGCGACGTGCACCTGGCCCATGATGGCCCCTTTGTGTTTGCCGAGGTCAACGCGGACTACATCACCTGGCTCTGGCATGGCGACGAGCGCCGGGAGCGTGTGTACTCGGACACGAAGAAGATCGGGAGGTGCATCAGCACCAAGGCGGTGGGCAGTGACTCCCGAGTGGACATCACAGGCCTCTACAAGTATCCGGAAGGTAAGGGCAATATGGCAGCCTCATTAGCCTCCCACGATGGCCGGCTGCTGCAGGGTTTACCTCATGCACTGGAGCCAGCCCATCCCTTGTGCAAGGTGGAGAGAGCTTGCTTGCAGCACTGTCTCTGTGCCTGGGGCTAAGTGCCTTTATTTTATGTTAATGTTTCCCCTGTTTGCTAAGTAGAAGACTTCCCATATTTAATAATGCTAATCATTTTTCTTGAACCCTTAGCACATACCTAGTACTGTATTAGGCATATTCGCCAATGATAATAATAATAATAATTACAACTATTAATAATAATAGTGATGATAGTTACAGGTATTGTTTATTAAATTTATTAAAACATAGCACTAGGCACAGTTCTAAATAATGGTAATAATAGCAGCTCCTATTTATCATCTGTTAATGTCTACTAATTTATGGTCGCTGGTTTATAGAAAAGTGGGTACTCGTTGGGGTATAAAAACAAAACATTTGTATTTTTTCTAGTAGTTTCTTCCATCTATATACTCTAAAAGTCACACTTTCCCACAAAATAATGGGTCCTTTAGCAGTGCTATGATTTGATCCATATATTTTCAGCCATTTCTGTTTGTTAAAACAATGGTATTCAAAAGTTAAGACTTAAAGTTCAAACTTGAATTAGAACTTGTCTCCTCCCCTCCCCTGAGCACAAGCTAGTGACACCAGAAGGCTGCTAAGGAGGGACACAGGCTGCTTGGGATGCTTCCCCCCACCTTTGTCTGCTCTGCAGCTCTGGGTGCACATTGGAATCACTGGGCCCTGTTTTCGTTATAGAGATTAAACAACTATTATTAATTTGCCCAGGATTCTTTGGGTCACTAATTTGGCCTGTGCTCAGCTAGAATGGCTCATCACCTTCCAGTGTGTCAGGTAGCACATGGTACACATCTGGGACTGCTGGGCCTCTCTCAACGCTTGAGCTCTCATGGTCATTCTTGCTGCCTCAAGTGTACTGGAAGTATTCGCCAAGGAAATTAGGCAAGAAAAAGAAACAGATCTGTTTGACAAGTGGTGTTGGGAAAGCTGGATATTCACATGTGAAAGAATGAAGTTGGACACTTCTCTTATACCGCTACAAAAATTAACTCAAAATTGATCAAACATCTAAATGTAAAACCTGACAATTTAAAACTCTTAGAAGGAAAAAGGAGAAAAGCATCGTGACATTGATTTGGCATTAATTTCTTGGCTATGACACCAAAAGTTGGCCTCCCACCTCACACCATACACAAAAATTAACTTAAAATTGATCATAGGTTTATATACAAGAGCTAAAATGATAAACCTTTTTGTAAAACAGGCGTTAAAGGTGGCCTTTTTAGATATGACATCAAGAATACAAGTGACAGAAGGAAAAACTGATAAATTGAACTTCATCAAAATTTAAAACTTGTGTTCCAAACTATACTATCAAGCAAGTGGAAAGAGGTAGCAACTTTGCACTTGGTAGTTAGGGGAATGCCCCACTCATGAATCATTTAATAAAGCCACTTAGATCTCAAAAAAAAGTGGAAAGAAGTAGAAAATATTTGCAAATCATGTGTCTAATAAGGGACCTATATCCAGAATAGGCAATGAACTCTTACAGCTCAATGAAGAGATAGTCCAATGTCTTAAATGGGCAAAGGATTGGAAGAGCTATTTCTCCAAGGATGATATACCTGAAAGATGTTTTACATCATTATTCATTAGGGAAATGCAAATCAAAACCACAAAAACATACCGCTCCCCACCCACTAGGACTGCTGTAACCCAGAACATTTAGAGTAAGTGCTGGCGAGGATATGGAGAAACTGGAACACACGTACATCGTGGGACTGTACAATGGTGCAATCACAGTCTTTGGCAGAGAAATGAAACATTTCCATAGTACAAATACCGTGGGCCAGAATAAAGAGTTCCACCTGCATTTAAATAATGGAATGTTAAGGAAACATTCATGTCCACATGGAGGTCACTCAGTACTCAGGTCCTTGGGGGAAATGTTTGGGAAGGAGTGGTGAGGGAGGTAAGTGGGGGGAAGGGGGGGTTCAGGGGGAAGACTGCTCAGTTCAGGTTTCAAGGAGGGAAACGTCAGATCCGGAAATGATCAGGATGGAATCAGGACTGGAGTGGGAGGTGGAGCCTGTCTTCCCAAGAAGGGAGGGGACATTCTTAAGCATTGAGCTCACTACCTGGCCTGTGGGCTTTTTGCCCCTCACTTTACAGATGGGAAATCTGAGCCTCAAAGGGCCTAAGTAATGAGGCTAGTAATAACAGCACATAGTCATCAGTGGCAAACTGACATTATCTGATGGGAGGAGAAGACAGATTCTAGAGATAATATGGATGCTCAGCAGGACTTGGTGACTTCTGAGTTGTGGGTGTTGAGGGGGTGGAAATTGCCAACGGCACTGGGCACTGCCGGTTTCTGGCTGTGCATTGGGTGAATGGGCTATTTGCCGAATGAACGGTGGGTGAATGGCAGAGCTATGAGTGAGACAGGAAATGCTGCTGGCCAGCAGATGCGGAGTTCGAGGGCCCTGTGGTGCATCCTGGGAGCAGGGGCTGTCCTGTTGCCAAAGTAATGGTCTGTAGGTCAAAAGTGAGGTCTGTTCTAGCAGCAGGAAAAGTGGGAAATCAAATGTCCTGCATTCACATGTCTACGCGAACCCTGCAGATGGCACCTCCAGTGCAGCCGCCCGGGGGGAACAGGGCAGAGCCCAGGGAGAACCAGAGTCCACCCTCATTGAGAGAGCGCCCATCTCAGCTGTGTAACCCATTACTGCCAGTAGAGAGTAGGAAGGGAGTTTAAGGTCATGGAAATTGGAATTAGACTGCGGGGTTTCACATGTGGCTCCCTTACCAATTGCTTTACTTCTCTGTGTCTTGGGCTCCTTATCTGGAAAACGATAACAGTCATTTTATCATCCCCTTTTCTGGGGATGATGACAGTCCCACCTCCTGGAGGGAGGATGGAACTGTGGGCTTAGCACATAGTAAGTCTGCAGATGTGACAGTCATCGTACCCTGAGCCTGGAGACCCAGTGGCCAGAGAAGCTGCAAAAACCTCTGCTTTGGGTAAAATGTCCTGACCTGAAATTGCTGGCAACTGATTAAAAAAATGTTTAAATAGTCTCAGACCAAGCACAACACATGACAGGTCTGCCCATGGCTCCTGGGCTGCCAGTCTGTCGTGGCCTCCAACTGCCACAGTAAGTTACAGCGGAGACGCGGTGGTGGTTTTGCCCGGAGGAGGGAAAAGGCCGACAGGCTCCGGGATGGTAGGGCTGGTGGGGAGGAAGGGGCGGCCGGCTCAGCACGCCCGTGCCCTCCGCAGGCTCCCGGAAGGAGCGGCAGGTGTACCGCAAGGCGGTGAGGAAGCTGTTCGGCGTGGACGCCTGTGGGAGGAGGGACCGGGTCCGCAGGGCCGGCGGCCGCGGTCTCTGGCGCGACGACCTCCTGGAGCCCGCCACCAAGCCCTGCATCACCGGCAAGTTCAAGATTCTGGAGCCGCCCGTGCTGGGCCACGACCTGAGTCTGGCCCTGTGCTTGGTCAACCTCACCTCCCGGGCCCAGCGGGTCCGGGTCAACCTGAGCGGGGCCACCATCCTCTACACGCGCAGGCCGGTGGCAGAGATACTGCGCGAATCCCACTCAGTGAGGCTGGGGCCCGAGGAAGGTAAGACGCCGGGGCGGGTGGGACCTGCCCTGCCCACACCTTTTCCAGGAGGGTTGGGGGCAGGGACAGCTCCCCAGGGTCCCAGGGCCATTCCCAGGCCCTTTCTGAGGGTTGTGCCAGTGCTTGGCTCTTTTCTCCACTTTACAGACGAGAAAAGTGAGTCTCAGAGGAGTTAAGTAATGAGAATAGTAATAAAGTCCACAATCATCTGAAGAGAGGACCCCAATTAGTATGACTATTTCCAGGTGGAATAAATACCTCCTGGGAGATTTCACAGTATGGATATGCCCCGTGTTATCGTTCTCAAACCCAACACATTCTGGAGCCCACCTGTCCAGGTGTTCTGCACCAGAGGGTGGGCCCGCGACAGGTGCCGAGCTCGTGCTCACCTGTGCCAAGCGCCCCTCTCCTGAGAAGTCTGTACTGAAGCTGTTATAGGGCAGCCCGGATATTGAACGGGTTCCTGGCTGTGGGTCCTCACCCGCGGGCTTCCAAGGGACTTATGAATACTCCACTACAGGCACACACAAAAGGTTCACAAAAGGTTTATTTACAAGGGAAAAGGAAATAAGGAAAATGTACAACTCAGGGAGAAAATAGGGAAATAAAGTCTTTAATGCGTCCTACCCGATCCCACGACCTGGAAACCCAAAGGCACTCTCAGAGCTGGCCTGTCGCTGCGAGCTGGCGGGGAGCCAAAATGGGGGATCCCCTCTAAAGCCCACGTGTCTGGCTTTATACCAACCTGGCTGCTGAACCCCACCCTCAGGTCCCAGCCACCTTCCCTTGGGTGGGGATGGGATTTGGAGTTCCCAGTGTCTTTGGCTTTGGCCTGGGGTGGGGGTGGAGTCCACAAAGCCTGCATGGGATTAGCTTTAGGACATCCTGTTCCCCCTAACAAAACAAGCTCTCCTGCCTCCCCTCCCCTGCACCCTGCTGCTCTCCTCTCCCCTCCCTCCCCCACCCCTTTCTCCCTCCCTCCCCCCCTCCATCCTTTCCCCTCCCCGCCTCTGCCACCTCTTCTTTCTCCCCTTACTCTTACTCGCCCCTTCTCTGTCCCTCTCCTTTCACTCCCCTTCTGAGCACAGAATTCAATCACACCCAGACGCTGTCCTCCGAGTTAGTCGCTGATGAAGTCAAGTGTGTGTGTTTTGACAAAGTGTGAAAACTTGTGAAGGAGAAGTCACACACTTTCCACTTCTTTGTCATTTATTTTTCACAAAATCTAAATCACAAAGGAATACTTCATAAGGAAATCGTAATGAACCTACACTTTTCTCAGCTTTTAGCAGATTTTTTTCCATTAAAAGTGATACCTATTCGGGCCTCCCCAATGGCGCAGCGGTTGAGCACTGGGTTGCGAAGCTGCCCGTGGCCTCTGCGGCCTCGGTTCGATCCCCGGCTGCTCCCCGGCCACCAGAGGAGGGTCCCACATGGCGCGCAGACCTCTCCTGCCGCCCGCTGCTCCCCTCAGCAGTGTACTTCGGTCCTTCTGCCTGCTCTGCTCCCTGCTCTGGCTCTGGTGAATTCTCTCACCCTCCCACACTTCTGACTGTACCCAGTGCTTGTATAAATAATAAATAAATAAATCTTTAAAAAAAAAAAAAAGAAACCTTTAAAAAAAAAAAAAAGTGATACCTATTCTTTCAAGACTTAGAGAGCAGGAGCGAAGATCCCCTGTCATCACCACCCATCTGCAGTTTCCAAGCAAACTGCTAGGGCCTGTTGCTTCTGAGAAACAGTTGTAATTATATTGCAAACATTCATTAGTGCCCTTCTCTTTCCACATTACATTGTAATTTAAATATTTTTATAAGCTTTTCATTAACATTTTGATAGATACATGTAATCTTTAAATAAATAGATGATGATTTATATTTTGTCTTCGGGGTGGTTATTACCTTATTGTTATTAAAAAGCACAAAAGTAGACATCTTGGTGCAAAAAAAAATCACTTTCTCATCTGTATCGTTTACTGTTTTATTACAAGAGAGTCACAAAAATGGAATTACCAAGCTGAATGATATGATTCTTAAGTTATTAAAATCTGTGATTTTTAAATTAATAGACATTTTAAGCAACTTTGGCTTAAAAAAAAACATTGAGCAGCACGTCTCATATACCCCCTCACCACCTCCCACCCTCCTTGGTACCAACACTTGCACTAGTGTAGTGAGCTTGTTGCAGTGATGGCCAGCAACTGCGCACTGTTATTTTAACACACTGTTATTTTTAACACAGAGTTGACATCAGGGTTCACTCTGTATTGTACATCCTGTGGGTTTTGACAAATGTATAAATCCACCATTAGAGTGTCGTGCAGAACAGCTTCACTGCTCTTTAACTGCCTGTTCTTTATTCATTGCTCCCTCCCTCCACTCTAACCCTGGCAACCACTGTTCTTACTGGCTCCACAGTTTTGCCTTTTCATAGACATCGTGTAGTTGGCTCATACTAAGGAGTCTTTCCAGGATTGGCTTCTTTCACTTACAAATAGCACTTGAGATTCCTCCACAGGTTGGTGTGGTTGGTAGCTTATTTCTTTATAGCACTGAATAGTATTCCACTATGTCATTGTGCCACAATTTGTTTATTCACTCACCTATTCCAGGTTGCTTCCAAGTTTGGGTAATTATGAATAAACATCCACATGCAGGCTTTTTGTGTGAAAGGAAGTTTTCAACTCATGTGGTGGAAGCCAAGGAGCGTGATTGCTCCATGGTCTGATAACAGCAGGTTTCGTTTTCTAAGAAACTGCCAAACTGTCTTCAAAGTGGCTGTGCCATTTTTCATTCCCACTGACAACGAATGAGAATTCTTGTTGCTCCACATCCTCTCCGGCATTTGGTGCTGTCAGTATTTGGGATTTTTGCCATTCTCATAAGTATACAGTCTCGTTTTAATTTGCAGTTCCTTGATGATGTTGATGTCGAGAATCTTTTCATAGGAGAGGTCCAGTTTTTTGCCCATTTTTTAATCATGTTATTTGTTGTCTTACTATTGAGTTTTAAGTGTTCTTTGTATATTTTGGATCACAGCCTTTTATCAGATATTTCCTTTGCAACTATTTCCTCCCATCTGTGACTAGTCTCCTTTCTTGACAGTGTCTTTCACAGAGCAGAAGTTTTCAATTTTAATGAAATGCAACTTGTTGGTTTTTTTTTTTCTTTTATGGATCAGGGTTCAGTGTTGTATTTTAAGAGTCATCATCTAGGTTTTCACCCACCTTATCTAGAAACTTTATAGTCTCGCATTTCATGTTTAGGTTTATGATCCATTTTTTTTTTTTTTTAATTTTCTAGAGGCATGTCTTATTTATTTATTTATTGTTTGTTTGTTTGTTTGATACATGCACTGGGTACAGTCAGAAGCGTGGGAGGGTGAGAGAATTCACCAGAGCCAGAGCGGGGAGCAGAGCAGGCAGAAGGACCGAAGTACACTGCTGAGGGGAGCAGCGGGCGGCAGGAGAGGTCTGCGCGCCATGTGGGACCCTCCTCTGGTGGCCGGGGAGCAGCCGGGGATCGAACCGGCTGCAGAGGCTGCAGGCAGCTTCGCAACCCAGCGCTCAACCGCTGCGCCACCGGGGAGGCCCAGTTTATGATCCATTTTTAGTTCATTTTTGTTAAGGGTTGAGGTCTGCGTCTAGATTCATTTTTTTCTTTTTTTTTTGCATGTGAATATCCAGTTGTTCCAGTGCCATTTATTGAAAAGACTATCTTTTCTCCATACCATTCCCTTTGCTCGTTTGTCAGGGATCAGTGGACTATGTTTGTGTGAGTTTATGGGGGCCCTATTTTGTTTAGTGATGTATTTGGCTATTCTTCACCAATACTACACTGTTTTGATTACTGGTGTCTTATATTAAGCCTTGAAGTTGGGCAGCATCAGTCCTCTGCTATTGTTCTTCTCCTTTGATCATGAATAGGACATATTAGGTGCTCAGTAAGCAGTGAGTAAATTCCCAGTGGGATGAATCTTTGATGGACTGAGACGCTTCTATCTTGAGTTATTAGGGAAATTTAAAACACATCTCCAAGAGCTTTTGGAGAGACAGGCTGGAGTTGTGGTACTGGTTGGCCTGATTTTGACTCACTTCTCATCTTGATGCCTGGATTTACTTGCTCTGTGACACTGGACAAGAAATTATTCTCTGACCCTAGCTTTGTTTCTGTGTGACGTGATTAAAGTAGTACCTGTCTTGGGTTGGTTACAAGAACCAGAGAAGACATAAAGTATGAATTGAGCCTTCCCTTCCTCTTTCTGGGCACCACCACCAACAAAAAAAGTCACACCCCCAATTCCCACCTCTGCTTTCCCTTCCAGAGAAAAAGATCCCAATCACAATACCTTACTCTCAATATAAGGAAGACCTGACGGAGGACAAGAAGATCTTGATGGCGGCCATGTGCCATATCATCAAGGGAGAGAAGCTCCTGGTAGAGAAGGACATTACCCTGGAGGACTTCATCACCATCAAGGTGACTCCCATCTGCATCCAACGCCCTCGCCCTAGAAGGCCCCTGTCAGGGCTGGAAGAGAGCATCAGAAGCTGGCGGGCTTGTGCTTTTAACCGCAGCTTCAGCTCTCTAGCAATGGGGCGGAGAGGTGTGGCTGTGGGGAGATGGTGTGATGATGGGGTTCAGTAATGAAGTATGTAGAAACGGGGTAAACATGATTAATGTCTTACCAGGCCCATGGGTTTCTCATGGGCGCTGAGGAGGTAGAGGGATGACTTACAGGTGTTGCCCCTCCAGGTTCTGAGCCCGGCCACAGTGGGAGTGGCCGTTGTGGTGGAAGTGATGGTGGCCAACCCCCTCTTTGAGAAAGTGGAGGACTGTGTGCTGATGGTGGAGGGAAGCGGCCTTCTCCAGGGACAGCTCAGCATCAAGTAAGTGCCGTGCTAGGGTTGTGGGGGTTGCCTTCCTTGTAAGATGGGTAAGCTAGAGGGGTGCAGGAGAGATTCTGGACCCCCAGGAACCAGTCCACTGTCTAGGCACATCAGCCTGCCTTCATTTATTCATTCCTTCATTTATTTAATCTCTAACTCACACAATCACATAACGCATCCACTCATTCACATTTTTACTCACTTCTTATTCATTTGCTCCCTCATCCATTCATTGACTCCTTTATTCATGCCTTTATTCATTCACTATTCATTCCTTCACTCAACTCAGTTTTGACTGGCTCTTTCATTAACTTGGTCTTTTTTAAGGTGCTCACTCATTTACCCGCTCACTCATTCCCACATAGCCCACTCAGCCATACACTCATTTACTTATTCATTCTCCGTCATTCACTCACTCATGCCTATTGAGTCAGTACTGATCACACTGACCTTTGCAGTGGGTCACAGTCCGTTGTTGGAAATATCAAGATGAGCAGATGGGGTTCTGCCTGGAGAAGGGCTTTCAGAGACAGGTGACCCTTCAAATGCAGATAGTGTGATTTGTTCAAACAGAAGGACGGGTCCTCAAGGTCCCAGTGGTCAGAGGCAGCCCTTGAATGGGGGCCAGGTGGGGCCAGAGAAAAACCTATTAGAGCTGATGTTCAAACTGGGCCTTCAGTGATGAATCAAGGAGCTTTGCAGGTATCCAGAGGATGAGGGCTTCTGATTCAGGTTCTTGTGATTGATGTAGTCAAGAGAAAGTCTCCTGGAAAAAAGTGAAACTTGACCTGGGCCTTAGGTGTGGTTGGACTCAGAAGGGCATCCTAGTGAGAAGACAAAAGCCCAGAGACATCAGAGACAAAAGCCCAGAGAAGTGTGAGGTATGTTCAGGGTGCAGGGAGGAGACTGGTCCTGCAGGTTGGAAAGAGTGCAAAGTGGCGAGAGGGCAAATGGTGTGGGAAGCATGTTGACAAGGCTTAAATGTCAAGGGCCTGCAAGGCCACAGACTGGCAGGGCAGGCTCAGGAAGGAGAGAGGCTAATAACCTACCTTTCTCCTGCCTCCTCTCCCCAGAGTGCCCAGACTGGAGCCCCAGGAGAAGGCCTCCGTCCAGTTCAACATCACCCCTTCCAAGAGTGGCCCAAGGCAGCTACAGGTGGACCTCGTCAGCCCCCACTTCCCAGACATCAAGGGCTTTGTGATCATCCACGTGGCCACAGCCAAGTGACAGGCCGCGAAGGGCTAAGAGGGGAGGAGATGGGCCCTGTTTCCCTCCTGCCCATCATTTTACCCCTCCCACGGGGGAGCCAGGAGGTCTGGGTTCCAGTTCTGCTGCAGCTTCTGCCCCACTCTGTAAATGTCAGCGAGTCCCTTCCCCTCCTGAGCCTCAGTTTCCCCAAGTGTAAAATGAGGTGGTAGACTATTCCTTAAACTTTCTGGCAACAGTGGATGGTGAAGGCAGCCTCTACCACACTCATCTAATGCCCTCATTGCCGGGAGACTGACTTGTCCAAGAATGATGAATCCCAGGCCGCCCAGCGCTGCCGCCTCCTACCGGCCAGCTCACCAGCACCCTTGCTGACCCCTGGCTCTCCTTGCCCCTCTCAGCTCTGCCGTGCTCTGACCACACCCACACCTGAGCATCAGCAGTTGTCAGAGAACCCAGAAGTGTTGAAGCCAAAATGTAACCATCCCTCAGGCTCCAACTATACAGAGGGAGGACCCGGCCCGTGGCCTCGGGGTGAGCTCGAGGCAGACTTTGGAGACCACGTGCAGCCATTTACACCATCTAAGTTTATCCCAAAGCCATGTTCCTCAAAAGCATAAGATTCAAAGTCACGGAGGACTTTCCCTCAATGAAAAATAAGCCCAGCAGCTGAGGGGCTGCTGTTCCCTGTAGAAGCTGGAGATAGAGACGGATCCCTCGTGGCTGGGGTGCACTGGGAGACGCAGCCCCCCATCTGCTCCAGTGGTGGCTGGCAGGCCCCTCGAAGTAGCTACACCCATGGTGGACTCAACTCTTCAGAACCAGGACAGTGTGGACTCTGCACACTATCCTCAGCAGTTTACACCACACGCAACCACTCGCTTAGTGTCAAAACAGGACTGAGACTTCTGGGACGAGGACCAGAGTGGAGACCACCGAGCCCTGAAGATAAGGGTATCAGCTGGGAAGGGTCCTGGACAGGCAAAGGAGTCGTAATGAATCACCTGACTTAAGTATCTGAACACAACAGGTAGGTTCTTCTGCAGTGAGATTCCTCCTGGATACAAGTCAAGGGAGAATAATTGATGTCACGGGTCTCTGCAAAAAGGCGCCAGGCAGACGCACAGGCAGTGTTAGGTGGATGAGCCTGTGACTAAGACCTCAATGAAAGCATTTCTTTGCTGAGCCTAGACAGCCTGGGGACAGCTCACAGAGCCCAGAAGAGAAGACGCATTGGGCACGCCAGGCCCTTGGCTCCAGGACCCCTTTCCAAACCGCAGCTTTTATGGATCGTCCATATAAGAGGTGGCACCGGAAGTTCAGAGCAGGCAGTTACCTTCTCAGGGAGGGGCAGCAGGAAGGGACATTGGGGTCATTGGGGACACTGAGGAAGTAGCCAGAGCCAGCGCCCTCCCCCAGCACGGAGAACACTCCTTTCAGCAGGGAAGGCCTGCATGTTGCCAGGTGGTCTCCCCTGGTGGTGGCCCAGACACTTCATTCTTCCAGCAAATTCCAACTGCCTGTCTCAAACTCAACTGTCCTGGTTGAGCTTCCCAGAAAACTGATTCTGAGAGGCAATTTTGGGTGCAGAATGTTGATTAAGCAATGACCTGGGAATCCTCTCCTGTGGGAGGGGAGGGCAGGACGGAGGAGGAGCAGAGGGAGGGATGGAACCATGATGCTGGCCTGCATCCACCCACAGGCAGCTCTGAAGCTAGAATGATGCGCGCGCGCGCGCGCGCGTGTGTGTGTGTGTGTGTGTGTGTGTGTGTGTGTGAAAGTAGCTGAAGGTCATGAGGGCCACCTGCCAGGTATCTCCTCTCCAGTTCAACCCCCCTTGCCCTTGGCACCTCTCACCTGAGCCGAGCTGGCCTGGCGCAGTTACTGGGATAAAACTGGCTGCACAGGTTATTCCAGCCCCAGCTGGAAGCAGAGGCCAGCAGCCAGTCAGGGCACCCTGGCTGGAGAGGGAGAGGAAGGGACATTAAGAGAAGACAACCCGAAGGAGAATGTGGCTGGAAATGCAGCCTTGGCACTGCGCAGAAAGCTGTGCAGGAGGGATTGCCTTTCAGTGAGCAGAGCCACACCCCGACAGTGTCCTCTGCAGAGGAAGGGCAGGACAGGCAATTCAAGACCCAGCAAAGCCCAGAGTTGGCTGGCCATGGGCACCAGGCAGGATGCCAACAACAGGGCTCTGCCTGCAGCATGGGCCTCCCACTACCTCTTCTGAGATCCCTTGGTCTCTTAAAAGCCATGACTTTTGCAGAGGCTCTGGGCACTGAGGTATGTCCGTCACCTGGCTTTCACATGCTGGTGATTGTGGGAGAAAGGGATACCCTCGGTTGGCAAGCTTTCACTGGCAGCCACCAGAGAGTAAATATTTTTTTAGGCTTTGCAGGTCATTAAGTCTGTTCCAACTACTCCACAATGTTCCTGCAGCATGACAGCGGCCATAGACTATACATAAATGAATGAGTGTGGATGTGTTGCAATCAAACTTTATTTACAAAACAGGCGGAGAGCCAGGTTTGGCCCACATGTTGTGGTTTGCTGACCCTGCTGCAGAACAAGGTGCTGGCTCAGCGGCTTCCTCGGGGACTGAGTTCTGATGCCAGGCTGCACCCCAGCCTGGGAGCAGGCCAAACCTGAGCTGAGGCCACGCCCTGAGCAGGCCCCACACTGAAACTTGGGTCACGTTTCAGCTGGTGCCCATGACCCTGGTGAGACCATGACTCAGAGCCTGACAATCCAGATGAGGTCACGACTTCAGTGCTAGAATGAACCCTAAACGTCACACTGAGTCCCGGCTCCTACCACAGCTCAGTCGGGACTTGCCGCTGGCCCTGGGCTGATACTGTCCCATGCTGAGCCCTAACTCAGCCCCGGGCAGCGCCCACAGGAGTGCAAGCCCTCGACCCAACCTCCAGCCGCGTCTCCCCTCAGACTGAGCTCCGCGCCTGGTACTGATTGAATCATGATCCCAAATAGACCTTGATCCCAGACTGAGCTCTGATCCACATGGGGCCTCAACCTAGCCTCACACCGACTCCCGATCTCGCTCAGACCCCAGCCAGAGTGGACTCTAGGTCTTGACTTTGAACTTCTCATTCAGATATAAGCTTCTCAAACCAGGGCCAACATACGCCTGGGTGTACTTGATGTCACTGGGTAAACACAACCTAGAACAGGGGTCCGAGCTTGCCTCCTGCCCCTTGGAGGCACTTGGGCAAAGTGTGAGAAGTGTGGTGAACCCTGCCTCAGCTCTAGCCGTCGGGCTGTGAGCCTGCGTTCACCATCCACTTCCCAAGGAGTAAGCGTGACAGTCCACCACCTGCCCAGGGCCCTCTCCTCCCCGCCTTACAAGTTCACTTCACTTTATCCTTCTGCCGGAAACAAAAGGAACTCTGCTACGCACCTGCCCCCAGAATAGGAGGTGACCCCACTCTTAGTAAAAGGGGATGTTCCTTTCGGCAGGGAAGCTCTGCATGTCCTCCAAGACGGTCCCTCCTGCGGTGTTCCATATACTTCCTTCTTTCTGCAAACACCCCCGCATGGCTTCCTCAAACTCAACTGTCGCAGGCTGAGTTTCCCTGAAAACTGATTGCAAGATGGACACTAGGGGACATTTATAAGGGATGGAAGAGAGGTGGTTCTGGTGGAAGAAAGAGATGTGTCCGATTGGGACTCTTGAGTAGCACTTATGGAAAAATCATTTTCTGCAGTCTCGTGGGGAGGGCACCGTGTCTTCAGCCTGCCTCTGGCACAGCCAGGGCTGCCTGTGTTGGCTCAGGCAGCCATGTGCTCTCCCCTGGGACTTTGACTCTTACGAGGTTAGGATGGAGGGCATGTCCTGAGGCCACCAAAGGTGGTGATGATTGGGAGAGCCCTGGGCAGTGTTCTATGCAGGTGATTTTTGCTGTGACAGTTGCTGTCTTTCTAGTTACCAACGGCTGTCTAGCAGAGCAATCCAGACCTTAAAGCTTAAAATAATGGCCGAAGTTATTTTGCTTGTGAGTCTGCAGTTTGGGCAGAGCTTGACGTGGCTTGACTAAGTGAAGCAGGGGTAGCTGAAAGCGGGGCAGGATCATTGAAGACTTGCTTATTCACATTTCGGGTGGTCAGTGCTGTCAACTGAGACCCTACACTGTGGCTTTCGGACAGAACACCAGTCTACTGCCTCTCCACATGGCGGGGGCTTCCTCATGACATGGTGGCCAGTTGCAAAGGCAAGTATCTTAAAAGACAGTCAGATGGAAGCCATGCTGCCTTTATGCCTGAGGGTTGGAAGTTACCTGGTTTTACATCTACCACGTCCTATTCCTTAAGGCAGTTACAACATACCTCTCAGTTACAATAGAAGGGGAAACAGATCCACAATAAGAAGTGAAAAGATTCTGGAAGAGTGTGTAGGACTGGAAATATTGCTGTAAATATTTTTGAAAATGTACAGTCTGTCATACGGTCTGACCTTCTGAAGACTCATGAAATCCCATATTTCTCTATGTCTATTCTGCCTCTTAGTATTCACTCTAATCTGTTCTTGATTTCTTCTCCATCCCCTTTTGCTTAAATCTGAGAAAGCATCTATGAGTTTAAATGCTAAAAACTATAAAATGCTGATAAAAGAAATCACAGAAGATCTAAATAAATGAGGAGAACCACAATATTCATGGATTGGCAGTATCAGCATAGTTAAGAAGTTAATTCTCCCCTGATATATAGGTTTGATGCAATTAAAGCTTCTATTAAAAAACCCAGCAAGAAAATTTGATATAATTGGAATTCATCAAAAGTCAAAATTTCTGATCTGCAAAAGATCTTGTTAAAAGAATGAAAAGACAATCTACACAGTAGAAGAAAAGTTTGCAAACTACATATCTGACAAATAACTAGTATCTAGGCTATACAAAGTCTCAAAATTCAACCGTAAAAAAGGAATCAAGAAAATGCTCAAGACAAGAAGCTTTTCATGAAGAGGATATACAGATGGCAAAGATGCACATGAAAGATGTTCAATATAT